AACGGCCATACCAAGTGATGCATTGCAAGTGGGAATGAACTGTGAGACAGGGAGAACTCCCGTCTCACCTCACCTGGAACACACCAGCTCCGGTCCAAGTGACGTCAGACCCCCTTGAAAGCTCCAGGGCCTCCAGCCATGGTCACTCACTGCACCCAGGAATATCAGCGGGACTTCACTGTAACTCACTTTAACTAGACCAAGTCAGGTTCTCAGAAGGGTAAGCTCACATAGCCAGCTGCATTTTTACTTCCTGCTAAAGCCCCACACGGGAAACTGCCACACAGGTACATCCCAAAACCCAAATTCGAGTGGTGGTTGGATCCCACATCACGTCATCAACGTCTGATCACAGTGCCTGGGCAAATGATGCTGTCATGATCCACAGCCATGTAACTCGTGCCAGGGAACCGGCAGTGCTCCTATCGGAAGGAACCACATCACCTGCAAGTCCCCCTGGCTCCTGCTGACAGAGATCCCAGCACCCCCAACCACGTGGAAGCAGTTTCCACACCATACGGGTAATGAATGGACCAGGCCCAAGACAGAACGACGACGGCCAGTCATGTCCAGAGACCCCCTTTGCCCTTGGCCTGCTGAGCAAGGGGCCAGGTCACACAGCAGAGGGAGGGAGGGAGGAGAGCAGATCTGACATTACGCTGCAGGCCCTCATCCTCCAGCCAGGTCTGTCGCAAAGGCCCCACTTCCTGTGCTGCAGCACCTGTCCCTGCAATGGGCCTGGTTTGCAGCTGAAGGCACCTGGCCGGAAAAACAGTCTGACACCTATGGCTAAACGGTACCACCATTATCTAAATCTTCTATCAGTCCCTCGAGTATCACTCTGGTCAGAAGGACATCCCCTCCCTCAATTTCTGATTATTCAGGTATTCTGGGAGACTCCCTCGCAAGATGGCGTAAGACAGGTTTTGCTGAATCCCACAGCGGTGTCCTTAAGCGTGAACCGAGATCGTCACCCAGAGTCCTTCAGAGGACGCTCTGTCTGTTCACATCCATGTTGTACTCTGATGAACTGGAGCCGCTTTGGCCAAACTCCATGAAAATCCCATCGGAATCCGACTCTATTGACTCCAAAATCTGGTCCACGATATTCTCCGGGCTGGCTGTAGGGGCAATGGCTAGTAAGTCTTGGTCTCTGGAGAGCTCAAATGCCCTGCTTGGGTCACCCCCCGGGTAGGAGAGTCCTTTGGGTGGCTCTGGTGCCTTGAGGTGGCCAGTGCACTGCGCACAGCCAGCAGACAGCCTTTCTGCCTCTCCCGAGTGTGAGTTTTTGGTGGTAGCCATTGAATTCCTGGAGCCGCTGTCCATGATAGTCGTTAGATTGGAGTAGTCCTGTGTCTCCATGCACAGGGTCATCTCGGAGACAGAGTGCCTTCGGATGCCGGAGCTGTTGGGGGCCGCCCCCTCCGTTTCATACTCGGCTACTGGAGTCAGCAGGGGGTTGTTGTAACTTTTGGATCGCACCACAGGGTTCTTGGCGGGGATGTCTCCTGATTTAGAGCGCCGGAAGAATCGCTTTTCTGTCGGGAAACACATGGGACAATTAAAATCTGCACGCTGCATTTCTGTCGCTACAAGTGCTGCTACACTTGGCAGATTCTAATTTATTTGCTTTGTTTTTTTAACAAGACGGGGACTTTGGCCTCTGCCACTTCTCCTGTCTGCCCCCCCCCAAGTTCACCCCGCCCACTCCAGACTTCTTCCACTCACTTGTTGGTCGGCAGCGCCCCCTCTTCTAATCTTCCCTTCTGCCTTCTCAGGTCCTTCATGAGCTTCTTTGCTTTCCACCACCTCTTCATCAAGATAATCAGGTGATTATAAAGCTGAACTCCTTGACTATTTTGAATGGTTTGCTCACCACCCTCGTTCTTGCAGTTTATTCTACTCTGAAGCTGTGTAGCCAGGGATATCATAACCTGGCCTCCCCCCAGAAGACTGCCCTTCTGTTCCACTTGATTAAGGAACTTTATGGTAGGGCAAGGCTGAGTGGATGGTCCAAATGGACACAGGGCAGTTCTCAAAGGGCTCACGGGTTGCTGAAATTCCACTATCCAATGCTGGACTTCCTGATTCTTGGCAAGCAAGAATCAGGTACAACAAATCACTTCTTATGTTCTTACACAAGAGTCTTATGATCACTTAACCCAGACTAGTCGGGACCTAATTTCTTAGGAGACCCCAGGTATGCACTTTGGCCTCACAAGCCCAAGGATTGCACGGATTCCGGTTTAAAAATAAAAAGCAGATCCTGTTAGCCTGAAATCCCCCACCAGTGCGTTAGGAGACTTTCCAACCATGGCTTCATTTGGTTATTTATAGTCTTCTATCACACTATTTTGGGGGAAGCTAAGAGCTGCTTACAAGCTCCGTCTTACTAGTCACCGACATCTCCTTAGCTTAGGAAGAACAGTGTGACGGCCGAAGCTCTCAGATGGCTCACACTGCCCACTAGGTGGCACTAGGCGGCAACAAGCCAGGGATGTTGCTTGCCAGGGAGAGAAGCTGACAGATTTCAGGAGAAGGCCAACAGCAGAGTTGTTTACAACTCCTCTGCCCCTGGTGCCAACCTCTGCCCTGAAGCTGCCCCCACTCTTCGTTCCTTGAACCTTCCTTTTCCTCACAGCTTCTGGACTCCCGTCTCATGCAGCCTAGCCAAGATATTCCACGTCGGCTGCTGACGCGAGTGCTCGGGGGCAGCCATTTTAGACTGTCTGCTCCCAAACACCATTACGCTCCCGTGTCTTCTGTGAAAGCCGTGGCAGGGGTTACTAAGGAAAAAACAGCAGCAGCGTCATTAGCGAGAGTCGCTTTGGCTCACCCATCCATCAACGGAAAACCGGTGTCCAGGGCAAGCCGGCCACTGAACTCGGAGGGGGAGTATCCTGGTGATGAAGCTCCCCCCCCCACAACCCCCCCCCCCA